AGACTGGTTACCTTTGGAGGGAGGATGGTAAGAAAAGGGAAGAAAAAAGGGAGGATAAGAGGGAGGAGCCCTTCTTTCAGTCTGTCTTTTCGTTAAGTGTATGTGCTCTCCCCTCCCCCATTTCCCCAAAATATTAAGCTTCTTAGAACTCTACTATTTTTCACTGTTATCAAATAAATAGTTAAGTTCTTACAGAGCTAAAGACAGGAAGTTTAGTACAATAATAAATAACATGGACTCTGGAGTCAGACTGCCTGGGCTTTCAAATCTTGGATCCTCTACCTACTAGATGCATGGGCCAAACTACTTAACTAATCTGATGCTCAGTTTGCCCATTTGTAAAATGAAGTTATAAGAAAACCTAACAAAACAAAGCTGTTACAGAGATAAAATGAGATGATGTATGTAAAGAGCAAATTGCCTGATACGTGGTAAGTACTCAATAAATGTTAGCTGATATTACTTTTACATAGAAAATCTATTTCAGTTATTTAGTGTAAGGAGCACTTTAAACCAGTGACTAGATGATCTATATGATAACATTCCTAGCTAATGTGGTCACCTATAAGAGAATCCCAATATCCCACTCTGCGAAATGCTGTTCTACACAATGAAGAAAGAAGTCTTACCTTGCGAGTGGTTGGGAAAGGTTCTGTAGGAATTATATGCAGATGAAGTGGGCGGGCTGTGAGTTGACTGAAGGCTGGAGTTAGTTCAAAACAGTTTTGGAAGAGGGATACTCTGGCGAAGATATAAAGTCCAAGTCTGGCTCTAGACATGGCCACCACTAAGCGACGGACATCCCTTTGGGAAACAAAATAATTAGCACACTTTAAGATTAATAACATTGATGCAGATTTTTTCTTTTTTTACATATTCCACTAAATAGTCCTCTTCAGCCATGGCAATAAGTTAAGCTTCTTAAAAACTTAATAGAGTAAACATAAAGCTAATCAATGTTATGTGACTAATAAACCAAGTAAAAGTCAATGCATTTATTACTAACCTCTTGATGTTTTTTATTTGTGGGTGTGGGGGAGATCACAAAATAACCAATGTACAGATCCAAAAAGGTCGAAGTAACTATATTGGTATTATGGTACAGTCACTGATTTATTTACTACTGCCACTGAGGCAAGCTGAACCAGCTCTTCTTCCACTTCACCTACCAAACTCCCAAGCTCCATTACGGTTAAATTTTACTTACTAGATAACTCTTACCACATAGTTTTATACTTACTTATAATAATAAGTACACGTGGAAATATATGATATGATAAAAATGATATAAAAAATATCATAATGATAAAAAATAAAACTACAGGTTGAGCAACCCTAATCTGAAAATCCAAAATCTGAAATGCTCCAAAATCTGACAGCTTTTGGGCACCAACATGATGCCACAAGCGGAAAATTCCACACCTGACCTCACGTGATGGGTCACAGTGAAAATGCAGGTCACACAACACAGTTTACTCAGTTTTCCCAAGGGAAAAATACAATTACCTTCAGGCTATGTTTATAAGGTATATATGAAACATAAATGAATTTTGCGTTTAGACTTGGGTCCCATCCCCAGGATATCTCATTATGTATTATATATGCAAATATTCCAAAACCTGAAAAAAACTGGAAATCCAAAACACTTCTGGTGTTTTGAATAAGGAATATTTAACCTGTAATATCAAGTCTTATTCATGTATTTACTCTGGTACTTAGATTCAATGCCTGCCTACAATAGGTACTCAATGTTCACATGAACAGTAATAAAAATGGTTAAAGTCAATGACTCAAGTATACATACAGCTGGCTATCTGATGAAAGATGTCAGTTTTCTTTAATCTATTTTTTAAAAAGAATATGTGTTTTTTAAAAAAAGGTTTGAATCACATAAATTTATAAAAGATGGCTATACATTAAGTCTAATTTCACCTCACTATTAGAATGTGTTTTAGTGAGAAAGATCGTGTTGGCTTCAAATACAGAAGATGGTTTGTTTTCTTGAGATGCTTTTAGATGGCTATTTAAATTTTTTAGTACTCTACAAAAGAGAAGACTTTCATGAAGAACAATAAAGTCTAATAAATCACCCCTAATCCCTGAAAGAAAGTGTTGAAGATTGTTACAGAAATCTAATGTTACAGAGATCATATAATAACCAGAGAGAGAACCAGGAATTGGGATGTTTATCTAATAGTTTTTCTTTGTCTCTGTGTAATGCAAGTTATTTTGGGAATACCTCTAATTCAGCCTCATTTTCTATGATGTTTTATGGTCTTAAAAAGTGTCTAGTTTCCCTTATCAGGAGGTACTGTGTGCCACCAATACATAATTTATCAGTTATCTTCTGTGTGATTGAAAGCCAAATTGTTTATTGCCATATTTCCTTAGAACCCCAAGGATTCACGCTATAGGTTGGTGGTTCCAAAACTGGTAACTGAATGTACACTGCTAGAAATAGCATGAATTCTCTCACAAATATTATAAAGGAAATTATGCTTAAAACTGAATGTTGTCAGGGGGAAAAAAGGGAGTTGGTGGTGGAGAGAAGTGTTGTTTTCATGATAATCACTGTATTATGTTCAGTTCTCCCCCTCACACCCAGAAGGCTCTATCTCTAGAGAGAGCACAGATAATAGCGCTATTACAGTGACCACTGTATTGGTCCCTCTGAGAAAACTTTTCCCTCCAGCCTTCAGTGCTATAGTGCCGGATAGTCGCTTTTATAATTGTGATCTCCATCATACATAGGAGATTTGAACTAAAATCTTCTGTAGATTCAAAGGCAGGTAACTTCCAAGGATGTATTTAATGTCTCCCCCGCCACTGGACTCTAAAACTCCACAAGGGCAAGGATCATGACTGTTAGATTTATTACCACATATCAAGAGCCTAGCACACTGCCACATAATAGATGGATCTGAAAATATTTGTTAGATGAAGGAGCAAACACTATGAACATAATAAACTACCAGGCAAAGAAAGCAAAGGGTGGGAGGCAGGGTTCCTTGGAACTACATATTGAAAGCAGGGCAATGGGGACTACCGTATTCTTTCTTAGTCCCCAGAAGATGGCTCAACAGAAAGAGTATTGTTAAACAACAAAGCCAACATTGTAACAGAACCCTTACGAGGGAGCAACAGGAAAGCTACAGCCTCACTACTTCACTCTGAACAGGTAACAAGCATTTCTATTGGTACCTAAGCTGTGTAAATCAATTGGAGACAAGAACAATGAATGCTAGAAAGGTGAATAGAAATGTCCCACTACTCTGGCTTCTAATCAGCTCTACCCTATCCTAAAACAGGTCTCTGGAACTGAAGCTGCCTCCTCCTACCCAATCGCCCAATTAGTCTACCCAGGATGAAAAAAGGTGAGTGAAAGGAATATGGCAGGCACCTAGAAAACAGCATAACAGTTCCTTAAAAGGTTAAATATAGAGTTATCATATGACCCAGAAATTCCTCTCCTAGATCTGTATTCAAGAGAAAAGAAAATAAGTGTTCACATAAAAAGTTGTATATACATGTTCAGACCAGCATTATTCCTAACAGTCATAAAGTGGAAAATCCAACGTCCAACGATTGATCAATGGATAAATAAAATGTGACAGAATATATCCACACGATGGATTACTCAGCAATAAAAAGGACTGGAGTACTGATACATCTTACATCAACATACCTTGAACACATTTTATGCTAAGTGAAAGAAGCCAGTCACAAAGGACCACATATTGTATGATTCCATTTATATTAAGTGTCAAGACTAGGCAAATCTACAGAAATAGCAAGTAGATTAATGGTTGCCAAGGGCTTGGGGGTAAGGGGAGAGGAATGATTGCTAATAAGCACCGGGTTTCTTGCTGGGCCGATGAAAATGTTCTAAAATTGATTGTGGAGATAGTTATATAACTCTGTGAATATACTAAAAACCACTGAATGATACACGTAAAATAGGTGAATTGCATGGTATGTCAATTATATTTCATTAAAGCTATTAATGAAAAATGAACTATGGCGGGAAGTAGGTTTCCTTGGTCTCCTGAAACACAAAATTTTCCTCTATTTATCCCCTCTATGCACTAATACCACCACCACCACCGCTCGCTCCCCGCTCCCAAGGAAGAAGCTAGTCTTTCAAAAGGAACTTTTGGCCAATACAAAAAAGTTTATTTGGATAAAGGTATTTTTGCTTAGAAAATTTTGATATGCAAGATAATACCAAACTCAAGTTTTCTCTTAATCCTTCAGTTATAAACATTTTATCATCAAAATCTTTTTTTTTTAAGTTTCCAGAAATATTAGGCAAAGAACAGCATAGAACTAAAGTCACTGGAATTTGAAAAAGACACAGTAAAGTACCACAGAGTAAGAAAAAAGGGACAGTGGAGAGGAAGCAGTATCATATATTCTTACTGGAAGTTTTTGAAATTTTAATTATGTAAATCATA